CTTCGTTGTGTTTTCATGTGATTGTGTTGGATTGTGTGTTTCAGCCGCGGCTGGAGGTCATGTGGGCCATGAAGGCCTACAACCACGCTGAGGTTTACTTCAACGTGAGTCTCCTCATCGATCAGCTTCTGGATCAATCGATCAGCTTCTGGATCAATCGATCAGCTGTTTAAAAAGCTTTTAAAAAGTCAGAATCATGATGAGCTGTAAAAGCCACATCATCTTATCATCTTCTGAAGTTTGTAAATTTATTTTATTTTTCTTATTTTCGTTTCCAAGCCGTCACAGATCTTCTGTCACGTTTCCCTGCAGACATCTCTGAAGGCTTCTATCGACTCTGTGAAGCTTTGAAACAGCCGATCAATGATCTGTGTTTTCTGGATCTCATGTTCTGATCAAACCGACCCGGTTCTGTTTCAGCTCATTTCGTCCGTCGACCCGAAGTTCCTGAAGCTGACGAAGCTCGACGACAAAATCTACTCGAGCTTCAGAGAGTCCTTCAGAGACCTGGACGTGAAGCTGCTGGACGCTGACGAGCTGAAGTCCGACGAGGCCAAAGAGGTTCGTTAGCGCCCCGCCAGACTCATCAGAACCCGGTTTAGGTTCTCCTGTCTCATGACTCATGACTTTGTTCTCAGAGGTGGCGTCCGTTCTGCAACCAGTTCGAGGGACTGGTGGAGGACTTCAACTACGGCACGCTGCTGCGCCTGGACTGCCAGAAGGACTACACCGAGGACAACACCATCTTCGGTGAGTTTTCTTCTCCGTGAGTTCTGCAGAACCTCATGAACCGAACGTGACCCACGGTTTCCTGTCTGCAGCCACCAGAGTCCAGTTCTTTGCCATCGAGATCGCCCGGAACCGAGAAGGCCACAACAACACGGTGTTCATGTCCAAACGCTCGGCCAGCTAGCCTCCAAGAACCAGGGAGGAACCATCGGTGAACCAGGGAGGAACCATCAAAGAACTGGGGAGGAACCAGGGAGGAACCATCAGAGAACCAGGGAGGAACCATCAGAGAACCAGGGAGGAATCATCAAAGAACTGGGGAGGAACCATCAGAGAACCAGGGAGGAACCATCAAAGAACTGGGGAGGAACCAGGGAGGAACCATCAGAGAACCAGGGAGGAACCATCAGAGAACCGGGGAGGAACCATCGGAGAACCAGGGACGAACCATCAGAGAATCAAGGAGGAACCATCAAAGAACTGGGGAGGAACCATCAGAGAACTGGGGAGGAACCATCAAAGAACCGGNCTGTTAGCTGTTATTAGCTGCTGTTAGCTGTTATTAGCTGCTGTTAGCTGCTTTATCTCAGTTCTGTGGATGGATTCAGTCACATGTGGAGTTTACTGACTGACAGACGCTCAGAGAAATTCAACATCTACGATCATGAACCTGATCTATATCCTGCAGAACCTGATCTTTCCACAAATCGTTTGATTTTCTTCAAAACAACCTCATGAGATAGTAAAAGGTGTAAATTTATCCATATAGGAGTTAAATGTATTCTCTGTCCAGCTGTAGGAGAAAGCTGGAGTTCAGGCTTCGTGGTGTCTGGAGGAAGCTGAACTGATCAGTGATCAATATTCATCTGTTTCCTGAGACTTCAGGCTCCTGCTTCACTAAACAATAAAACGAGTTCATGTAGATCTGAGGACAACTTAGAGATAAAGTTCAGATTCAGATACGGAGTCAGCATCAGGAGATAAAATAAACATGTGACCAAATCTGATCAATAAACCTGAAACAAGCTGCAAGAGACTCAAGTTCACACGAGAGAAAAAAAAAGTTAGAATGTGGAGTTCAGACCAAATGTTAGGAGGAGTTCAGCATCATGATGAAGAGAGAAATAAATAAATACGATAAAAACCCAAAGTGTGAAACTGGGTCAGAACATCTGGAGGTCCAGTAAAAGTTCAGGTACATTATTAGATCAGAACATTTAGATTGTTAGATCAGATGTCAGAAATGTCTGATTAGAAAATGATTTGATGTGAACAGTAGAAATGATGAAAAGTTTAAAATCTGATTTTTAATTTTGATGCTTTAAGTCAAAACAACAAATATTTTCAATTCAATTCAGTTTTATTTGTA